GCAGTAGCTTGCAGATCTCGGTCCGATATTTTTGCAACCTTTGTTCCTTGATTTGGAAAGTCCCTGTGACTTGGTTTACTACAAGCTGGGAGTCACAGCGGAGTTTTAACCGCTTCGCCCCATAGTCAAGTGCTAGCCTCAACCCTGGAATTACGGCCTCATATACTCGGTGTCGTTGTTATTCATATTCGGGCACCTTATGGACTAGCGAATTACTTCGCCTATAGGGACCTCGAGTACGAGTCCCAGTTCGAATCCTGATGCATTGGATGCGCCATCGGTGTATAGGACCCAGAGGTCTTGTGTTTGGAGGGAAGCTTGGACGACTTCCTTTTCAACTTCAGGCATTTTATTTGCACTGAAGTCTACGATGAAGTCAGTGAGCACCTGCGACTTTATCGCCGTTCGCGGCTGGTATTTGATATCATGCCCGCTTACTTCGATGGCCCACTTGGCCAGCCTCCCTGATAGATCGGGTTTATGCAAAATGCTCCTTAGGGGAAAGGTTGTAACGACCGAAATAGGATGGCATTGGAAATAGGGTATATGCTTTTGTGAAGCTACAACCAATCCCAGAGCCAATTTTTTGAGGTGCGGGTACCTCGTCTCGGCATCGATGAGTGTTTTGCTAATATAATAGATGTGAGATTGCGTACCTTTGTTTTCCTGGATCAGGACTGCACTTACCGCTACCTCGGAGATGGCTAGATAGACAAGGAGGTATTCCCCATCTATTACATTAGCAAAATAATCATCGACACCACTTACCGTTACCTCGGAGACGGCTAGATAGATGAGAAGGTGTTCCCAGGGTTCGGGTTTTGAAAGCAGAGGTAGTGATGATAGGTATGCCTTCAGTTCTCACAAAGCTTGGACGCACTCGGGAGTCCATTTGAGACCGTTGTCCTTTTTGAGTATGCCAAAAAATTTATGACATCTATCAAACGACCGCGAGATGAATCTCGATAGGGTGACGGTTCGACCAGTCAACCTTTGGACTTGCTTCTTGGTAGTCAAGAGTTCCGGTATCCCCTCGACAGTTTTGATTTGGTCAGGGTTGACCTCGATCCCCCGTTGTGACACCAAAAAACCCAAGAACTTTTCAGAGGCTACGCCAAACGCGTAGTTCTTCGGGTTTAGTTTCATTTTGTACCGTCTTAATATGTCGAAGCTTCCTTAAATGATCGATATGATCCTATACCTTTACGAACTTGACCAACATGTCATTTATATATACTTCCATGGTCTTGCCGAGCTGGTCTTTGAACATCTTCATGACCAATTTTTGATATATAGCCCCCACGTTCTTCAGCCCAAACGTCATGACCTTATAACAATACGTTCCTTGGTGGGTGATGAACGTGGTTCTCTCCTGGTCTTCTTCCTCCATAAGTATATGTTTATAGCCTGAGTACATGTCCAAGAAACTCAATAGCTCGTGCTTGGCCGTTGCGTCAATGAGTTGGTCGATGTGAGGTAACGGGAACGAATTCTTCGGATATGCTTTGTTCAAGTATGTGAAATCCACGCACATTCGTCATTTCCCATTTTTTCTTTTTGACTATCACTACGTTGGCGATCCACTTGGGGTAGTTCGAGTCCCTGATGGAGCCATTTTTAATAGTTTCTCCACCTCCTCACGGATTGCATCATTGATGGAGGGGTTGAATTTACGACTGACCTGCCTTACTGAGGATAGAACGGATCGACGTTTAATTTGAGCATGGCGATTTCCTGGGGATACCCGACATATCTGCATGGCTGAAGGCAAACGATTCTGCAATAGTTATTAAGAATTGACCGAATTTACCTGGTTTTCGAAAGTTTACAACCGATGTAGGCCTTTTTGCTACAGCCATTGAGGTTGAATCAAACCATCAGTATATGATTCATCGAAGATGATACTTTCTTAGAGTCTGTCGTACCATTCGTGGGTGATAGATCACTTGAGCTTATGAGTGGTGGTGAACTTCATACCGTTGATAGAGGCGTCTTCGCCGCCGTCGATGATCATGTTAATAGTACGAGCTGGTGAAGGCGGCTTTGGCGTACCTTGGTGTTCACGTCCTCTAGCGAAGTTATTTCTTCCCCTCTCGCTTAGCAGCCTTTTAAGGTGCCCTGTTGCAACATGCTTACGACTTCATGCCCGAGGGTAATGCAATCTTCTGTTTTGTGCCCACGTTCCTGATGGAACTCACAAAAGGCATCAGATTTTCTGGTGTTCGGATCGGACCTCATCTTTGGCAGCCACTTTACCTTTGTTCCGAGTTTCTCAAGAGCATAGACTATTTATGTAGGTGACACACAAAATTTGTGAGCGGATAATAAGGGGGAGAAAGTCCCTTAGTCCCTCTCTCAAGGACTGCTTGACATCGAATATGTCGTTTACTCTTGCTTCGGTCTTCTTGTCTCTAACATGTGCAGTTACGAACTTATCGACCATTTCTTCGAAAGTTTCTGTGGAGCGGGCTGGTAGCTGTGAATACCATGTTACTGCCCCTCCCGTAAGGATTTTGCCAAACTTTTTCAAACAAATAGAGGAAACTTGTTCCTTGGCAAGGTCATTGCCTTTCACGACGGTGATGTAATGGGTTACTTGATCTTTGGGATCGGTCATTCCGTCGTATATCCCGAGGTAGGGCAGCATTTTGAAGGTCTTTGGTATGGTATGTGGGGCTGCTTCGTCGATGTACGACTGTTCTACGAACCTACCGGTATCCTTTTTTGGCAATAGCTTAGGAGCGCCAGGTATCTTGTCGACTCGTTCTTGGTGTTCTTTCATCTGGACTTGGAGTGCTTTATTTTCATTCTCTATTTTCTCCATCCTCTTTAGAACGGCAGCAAGGGCACCTTCACCTGCACTGTTAGTAATATTGTGAGTTATACCTGTTGTCGGAGGGTTTGGTCGGTTGCACTGTTCGTCTGCTTGTTGTATCATGCAAGCTCTTGCGGTTTCTGTAGTCATTCCAGGAGCGGGCTTGTTGAACACGCTCACTAGCGTATCGGTCAGCCATGCTTCGATGAGCTTTTTCACAGCTGGGGGCGTCCCTTCTTCTACGGACGCATATGCCCCTTTTCTATTGGGTTTTGTTATGCTACAATGGGGGAAGGCTACCTCTCGCGCCTAGGGGAAGCGGTGGGCGTCACGTCCTCACTTACTGTTTCACAGCTCTCGTTGATAGCGTTCATGAGGTTGCTAGGGAAATCACTTGTTACTTTTGTCCTTTCTCCTTGGTTACCTGACATGTAGGTTTTTGTACGTACAAAGAAAGAAGAAGATCTTGGGGTTTGTGAGGTTAGTGACTTGCGTTAGCTGTAGATCTAAGAAAACTAAAAAGTTAACTAATAAATTCCCACAGACGACGCCAAATTGTTTGACCAAAAATATAGATCTTGGTTCAACTAGTTAAATTTATGCAAATAAAGATTAATCTTGGTTAATAATAATATCCTAAAGAGTAATATGATAAATAACACATAGATTTATTCCGAAAGTTATGACGATGCACAATAATGAAAATATTCAAGAACCCAAACAGAAGTAATGTAGCATTAAATAGTGATGAATAGCAATAAATGACACTTATGCAAATAAAATGAATGAGTCGCCCGAGAAAGGATGAAATCAGTGGATGTTCTTTCTGACAATGATGAATGATGGACAAACCTTTGAATATCCGAGTTATTCTCGGATCCAGTGAAAAAGTGTGGACCAGAATCTTAGTGAAAAGGTTATTTTTGTAGGCTTGCAATAAGGCCAAATTCTCTCTATAAAATCAAAATGTATTTTACAAATGAATCTCTTTCCCCTCCTATCATTATGTCACTTTCTATTTATAGGAAACATGTTCGTAAAAAGCCTAATAGTACAAGTGCAAATAATATCCACTAGAATACTCTTTTTAATGGCCTATCTTAAAACTAATTGTTATAACTCTGTCAAGGATATTCAACTTCGGCATCGATCTTTGATGACTCATCGACCTCAGTCCTTGCTTACTCTTCGACCACAACCTTCATTGTTCCTTAAACCACTTCGACACGTGGCGACCTGGGAATGTTTCTCTAATGGCATACTGACTTAAGTATTCTTGAGACAGAATTTGACCCATACAATATATGCCAAGTTAATTTAACTTTAACAGTTAAGTGGTAAACAATCTTAAATTTTTGATTATGTGTTTTCGTTGAAATTCATTTTTTTTTCTTAATCATAAATATTCATTATGATTTTTACATGTTGTATGCTATTTCCTAATTATTTTTTTCACACTTTTAGTATGAAAAATGAGGCCACTACCATTAACATGAATAAACATTAGAAGGTTCTTATTATTTATATTTATCTATTATTATATGTAAAATACATGATTAATTAAACATACTTAAGAGCTAAAAGTCGATATGATATGATTTCACAAATCACTTTAATCTGTTCGTTTTCCATAATTGGATACTGATAAAACAACAGCAACAACAACAAATTCAGTGAAATTTCACAAGTGTGGTTTGGAGAGGATAGTGTGTAGAGATGATGACCCCTACCTTGAGAAGGTAGAGGGACTATTTCCGGTAGACCATCAGCTCAAGGAAAGATGAACAAAAGCAGTAGCAACAGGCAGTAACAACAACAAGATACTAAAAAAATCGAAGCGAAATTATAATAAGAAAACAACATATAGTAATAACAATTTAACTTAAGAATAATAACAAACTAACATTAAAGCCACAGGTATGGAAAAAACAAATATTCGGCTACCTACTAATCATCTATCATAACCCTAACGTTCAACTTTCACACCTTCCTATCGTAATCTTATTCATATTCTTGAGTTATTGCTATATTCTTATTTTAGTCCTTGTCCTATTCATGATAGCACGTTTGACCTACAATTAAATCGAATATGCTATTTTAGTCCTTGAAGTTAGTTAAAGATGATGTTTCTAAGTGGTCTCCCTTCTAAAGGATAAAATCATAAAAATGAAAGCACGCGTCAAAAGAGTTGCAAAAAGTGTTACAATAAGCCAAAAACGGACGGCGCATTGATTGCTAAGTACAGTAATATTCTTTTTTCTGTCTTTGGCATTGGCCATTATTCTTCTCTCTTTTTGCCAGCTTTAGTTGAATTTCAAATTTCAAAGCAGTATTGATCCCTCTATCCTGGGAAAATTCCTCGGTTCTAAATGATGTTCATCATTAGTAAGTGATACTATTACAATTTATATTTTAATTATATTAATGATGTATTTTAATCTATTATAACAAATAAGCTGTCTTATTTCTTATATTACTAATCCCACTATAAATACTACACTTAAATATCATTTATGGATGATACAGTGTAAGCTGCCTTATTTTCAGTTCTTATCGTATCAACCTCAAGAAATGTGTTCAATCATAAGCAATTCACCTTGGGATTAGAACCCTTTTCACCTCTATATTCTACATTGTGCTTTTGATCAAAGAATTAGCAGGAAATAAATATAAATGTTGATTTTCTTTAATGCGTTTCACAATATTCCTTTTCTTAAATTAGAAAAACACAGAGCTCCTTAATTTTGAAATAAATTACTATAGTGTAGTTCAAGTTCTGTCATTTGGTTTTCTTGAAATGCAGGATTCTGTATTGAAAAAAGAAGAAGAAAAAGAAACCAGAAAAATTAGTAACACTTAAGTAGAACTCAAACAAAGATTGAACTCAATTTAGTTGCATTTTCTTCTTTCCAGGTTTTCTGGTTATGAAAATTGACGATTTACTTTTACTGCTCTGTTGATGTCAAAAGCAACAAATAAGTAGACATCAGATAAAAATGAAACCAATTTATTGAATTTTCCTCCCTTCTTTAGCTGAGCGTCTATCGGAAACAGCCTATCTGCCCTTTCAGAATAGGGACAAGGCTCGTACATCTTACCCTCCCCATACCCCACTTATGGGAATTCACTTGGTTTGTTATTGTTGTTGTTGAATTTTCCTCTTTCCAGATTATTGGTTATGAAATCTAAGGACTTTAGTCCTACTGTAACTCTTTTACAGCTTTGTTGTTGTCAAAGTGGCCTTGCTCTGGATTTCTGCTTCTTTTGGCATTTCTATTGTTGAGCACAAGAACAAGTACTAGTTTAGCTTATGATAGACGCGAGATAATAAAGGCGCGTCATGGAGCTGTTGCCACTGATGATGGACGATGCTCGACGATTGGAAGAGACGTTCTACGAGAAGGAGGCCATGCTGTGGATGCAACAGTGGCTGCAGCTCTTTGCTTGGGAGTTGTTAGTCCGGCGTCTAGTGGCATTGGTGGAGGAGCATTCATGCTAATAAGAACAGCAGATGGAAAGGCTCAAGCCTTTGATATGAGAGAAACTGCTCCCAAGAAAGCCTCTGAGGTATTTGAACTATTGGAGTCTTTTGATTGCATAGATTGATAATTCAATACTTAATAGCTTGTCGTCAACTGTTTTATTGGGTGTGCGAACAAAGTACCATATTGAGAGCTGAAAAGATTGGGAAGCTACATATAAGGTATAAAAATCTCTTAATGGTGTGAGACTTTTTAGGAAAACCGTGCAGCAGGTTTGGCCCAAAGCGGACAGTATCGCACTATGTTAATAGTATCTTTGGGCTGGTTTAGCCCGACATGTTTAGACCTAGGTTGAAATCCACTAGGAAATCAAATCAAATATGTGTAGGTCTCATATCTACAGGACTACAAATTAACACTGTGTTTTAGTCCTCCCATATTACTTGATATGTTGAGCAAACATGTATACATACATACTCTGGTAGAAACAAAATTGACAATCTTAAATAGATGTATTAAGTTAGAAGAGCAGATGGTAGTGCACCAAATCTAAAACTGGAAAGGATATAAGACAGTTGAGATGAGGAGTTAATTTGGTGAATTGGTGCACTTCTCATATTATATCTATAATTCGAAGAATTTTTATCAGTAATATCCTTGACAGGAATATTAGGAAAAGCCAATAAAAGAATGTACTGCTTCAGTTTGCACTTAATATAAGTATGGAAGTTTTGCTGCTTAGTCACCAAAATTATGTAGATTGCACTAGTTATCGTATTGTTTCAAGTCTCCCAAAACGAAATATATGTAGATAATAGAATTTTTGCAACTTGTATCATATCTTTCTTGTACTTCAGAATATGTACGCAGGAAATGCTGGTCTAAAAGCTAGCGGAGTTCTTTCAATAGGAGTTCCAGGAGAAATTGCTGGCCTTTACGAAGCGTGGAAGCAATATGGAAAGCTTTCATGGAAAAGGCTTGTGAGGCCAGCTGCACATCTAGCTCATAGAGGGTTCAAGATTTCACCATATCTTCACATGCAAATGTTCAAAAGCGAATCAGATATTATGTCGGACAAGGGGCTTCGCGACTTGTTCACATCAAATGGCAGCCTTTTGCAGATAGGAGATGTATGTTATAACAAACAGCTAGCTAAAACACTTAGAGCACTTTCCGCATATGGAATTAGGCCATTTTACAATGGATCAATTGGGATTAAATTGATCAAAGATATAACTAAATCTGGAGGCATTTTGACAATGGAAGACTTGCAGCAGTATCAAGTTAGAATAAGAGAACCTATCACTGCAGATGTCATGGGATTTAAGATACTTGGTATGCCACCTCCTTCAGCAGGAGGTGCTGCAATGGTGCTAGTAAGTATATCTCTTTGATCATTTCCTTTAGGGTGCATTTAGTATGAAAGAAAATGTTTTTCACGGAAAAGTTTTCTGGAAAATAAGGAATACATTTATATATAATCTAGGCAAACATTATGGACGGGGGTCAGGGTTCGAGGTTCATGGTCCGGGGTCTGAGGTCCTGATTCGG